CCCGGAGCCCAGAGCCTATCTGCATGTTTGGGTTCCTGAGCCTAGGCAGAAACCAAGGGCTTGCATCTGATCTTGGTCTTGCAGGTCTGGGAGAGGCACCCGGAAGCTTGTAGAACCTGCTCTTTGTCCTGGGTTTGACTAAGAACCACAAGGCTTAGTGGGGCACAGAGCCATTTACAGATTCCCTACAGGGTTTGACAGAGCCCTGTTTGAGACCCACTAAACTAAAAGGTCTCAAAGGCAGCAATGGTGTGATGGCAGAGATGGGTACAGACTTTCGGAGCCACAGATGCCTCACTAGAGGGATCCAGGCAGGGGGGTCACCATGACACTCATTTCTCATGAGAAACTGAGGCTGTGGGAAAGGGAGAGGAGGGCAGAGAAAAGGGGGGTCCAAGGTCACATAGAGAGGTAGCTACCAGCAAAGTATGCTCTGAGCCTTTCTCTCGTCTGGGAGCCAAGCATGGAAGTGAGCCCCACCCAGGCTGCCTGGCTGTTGGCAGGCTGAACGTGTGAGTTTCTCAAATGGCTTTGACTTTTGAGTCCATTAGTGATTAATTCAGAGCTCCATTTCGAGCTGGCTGATCCATATTTGGAGGAGGAGAACATTCTGTGGCAGCCGAGATGCAGCCGTGATTCATCTGTGGACAGCTGGTCCCTGTGGCCGTCTGGGAAGGCATGGAGTCTGGGAAGGGCTCCATTCAGCAACCTTGCCCAGAGTTGGGAATGGGTGCACAGTGTCTCACACCTGTGGACCCTTCGAGGGGAGCTAGCACAATGCAAATAATCCATTTTAGGGTTCAGTCATCCACTCTTGTTTCTTCCCAGTTGTATGGCCTTGGGCATACTAGGTAAACTCCTCAAGCCTCAGTTTACCCAACCACAAAATGGTCACTTACACCTCTCCCACAGGCACTATTGGGAAGATTCTAGGAAGTGATGTCTCTGGGTATGCCCAAAACACTGTGTGTGGTCAGAAGAGGGGTGATGACAACTGTAGGACCTTCCCAGCCTCCCTTCACTGGACTTCTGGGTGGAACCCTGATGTCTGCAACTCACACTTTACCATGCACACCCATGTGACTTTAGACAAGTCATCTACCTCTGATTTCTCTTCTGTAGAGGAGTGGTCCATACCTTTCTGGATCCTGCCTGTAGTATGGAGAGAGGAGCAGTCACCCTAGGTACACACCACAAGAATGACTAGGAGGCTTAAGCTGGGGAGATGGCTCAGTTGGTAGTGTGCTTGCCATATGAGCATGGGACCTGAAGTTCAGTCCCTAAAACACATGAGGAAATGCTGAGCCCTGCTTTTGACTCTGAGGTGACAAGACAGAGACAGAATCTCTACTGCTTCCTGGCCAATAGTCTAACTGAAATGGTGAGATCTGGGTTTAGCAAGAAATCTTGTCCCCCCAAAATAAGATGAACAGTTGTAGAATAAGACAGTGGACATCCACATTTTGACACATGTATTCTTGATACACACACACACACACACACACACACACACACACACACACACCACACACTCACTCACCCACACCTAGTGAAAGTTAGTCTGTCTTTTGTTTGGATGTGGTGGTTGGTGCACACCCTTAATTCCAACACTTTGGAGGCAGAGGTGGGCAGATCTCTATGAGTTCAAGGCCAGCTTGATCTACAAAGTGAGTTTTAGGCTAACCAAGGTTATATAGTGAGACCTGTTTGAAAAAAGAATAAAAGGAGCCAGATGGTGGTGGTGCATGCCTTTAATCCCAGCACTCAGGAGGCAGAGGCAGGCAGATCTCTGTGAGTTCGAGACCAGCCTGGTCTACAGAGTGAGTTCCAGGACAGCCTCCGAAGCCACAGAGAAACCCTGTCTCAAACTCCCCCCCCCCAAAAAAAAAGAAAAAAGAAAGGAAGGAAGGAAGTTGATTTGCAGCAATTCTAATAATGATAGTGACAAAATCTTTCCTTTTGCCTATGACTGCACTAGCACCTTCGAGGTCAGCAGGAAACTTCCAATAGGAACGGTTTTTCTTTCTGCCTGTTGATTTGAGATGACCTTTCTCCCATCCCTACATCTTTTAGAATTCTCTCCTAACCTCTGCACACCCTGCTCTCTTGGCTCCCTTTTATACTTAACACAGAGCCTCTGGGGACAGTTCAGGGTCCCTTCCTAGATTGGCAGGGTCAAGGCTCTCTCCATGTGTCTCCAAGCCCTGGTCTACCTCCCATTTGCCAGGCCCTCCCAAGTCAGCACAGAGCCTGCCTGGAAAGGGCCTGCCTCCAATTGAACAGGCAGGAATAGAACCCATGTCTCTGGTCTCTGGTCTCTGTCCCACATTTAGGAGGGAAGAAAAAGATTCGCATGGGTTTGTCTGTCTCATTAGTCAGCATCCCAGGAGGATGAAGGCAGTATCCTCAACCACAGTCCTGGGATGTGATGGAGGATGGAGAAACATTACAGAGGCTGTGGGAAGTGTCTAAACACCAACCGTTCTTCCCCAGGGCTGAGAACCCCAGGTGCAGGTTGGAACTGCTGCAGTTGGCCTCCTGGAAAGGCAAACTCAGCTAAGAGCTGAGCTGAGCTTGTGAAGACATGGGAGATGGACCCTAACTATTCTCTCATGGCCTCCAACTTCCTGCTTGGGCTTTCCCTTGGCCCCAACCCATTTGGAGAGTTGAAGGCCAAGAAGCCGGTCAATAGGTAGAGACCAGCCTCCCAGCGTGCAAAACTAGACAGCATTGTGAACAAACAGAATCTTGGCTCAGTTTTTCTCCACTTGTCCATGGCTGAGATTTACAGGATGCTTTCCTAGTTAGTGAGCTGTGACAAGATGAGTGGCTAAAAAGGGAGCAGAGGATGGCTCTGCATTCTGTTGTTGGGCACTGCTGTGGGCTCCTCCTCTACCTGATTCTCTGGTCAGAGAATCACCCCTGAATTCTTCACTTAGTCACAGGTCCCTAAATCCCCACAGACTAAAATTCATCTGCGTTTATCTGGGGATGTCAATGGAGGGACTGTGAGTTATTCATTCCAGACTGAATTAGATTGCTAGCTCCTGGCACTCAGTGGAGATTAGAGGTTTGATGCAAGAGAAAGGCAGAATAGAAAAGGAGTGGAGGAGAGAAGGATAATTTTGAAGCATAAGGGGATCATAAAAGAGGCTGGCTGGAGGACTAGTAAAATGACTTAGCAAGTAAAGTACTGACTGACAAGCCCGGGAGCCTGAGTTTGCTAACTGGGATACACATGGGAGAAGGAAAACTAGCTTCCAAAAGTTGGCATGTACTCGTGTGTGTGTGTGTGTGTGTGTGTGTGTGTGTGTGTGCTCGCACACGCGCTCACGCACACACACAACAGATGCAATAATAATAATTAAAATGACGCTGGAAAGAAAGCTTGAGTGAGGTAAGAGGGCTCCCTCCATCTTTCTTTAGCTGGAAGTTCTACAACAGCCAGAAGGAACTGTGTGCCAGGTACACAGGAGAACCCAGAGAGGAGATAGGGACTTAGGTCTATCCTCATATAAAAAACATATTTTAAAGCATATTTACACCTTAACGCGCGCACGCGCGTAAACACACACACACACACACACACACACACACACACACACACACACACACACACACACACACACGCACACACACGCACGCACACACACGCACGCACAAGTGCACGCATGCACTTCCTTTAACTTACATTGAACCTGCACTGCAAGAGAAGTATTGATGGCTTCAAAGGACAAAGCATTAAGTAAGTTGCCCAAGACTGCTTTGCCCAGTCTGCTGTCTACCCTCTCCTCCATGGGCTACCACAGTCACTGGCCTTGTCGTCCTAAGAGCTTGCTGGTGGACAGAGCCTGCAGCCCAGGATGGGGTTTGAAGAACAGAGGCTGAGAGATCATCTTTTCTTTACCTGGGGCAGGGTTCCTTCTTATCATTTGTTCAGTGGTCATACAGCCACACGACTCCCTGTCTGTCATTTACAAAGATCCCTGGCTACCTACAGATGGAGAGGGGCATGATAAAGGCGAGAGGCAAACCCTTCAAGTTTTTAGTCAGCAGGCACTGCTTGTTGCCAGCTGTCCAGCTTGGCTGTCAGCTTTAAGAACTGCCAGTATATGGGTTTTGAATCTGGCTCTCGTGTTCACCAAGTGACCTCTTTTCTACATGCTGAGGATGAGGGCATCTGGATGTCCAAGAGGGGACCCAGATGTCTCTATCTGTACCTGAGGAACTGGGAGGAGCCATAACATGACAGAAGTTTCTTCCTGTGGTAGTCTTATTTTAAGCTGTGTGACTTTTGTTTATGCTGCATTTGTTTAACTCAGTGAAGCTGTGATTCTTTGCTTGTCTAAAACACCTGATGGTCCTAATAAAGAGCTGAATGGCCAATAGCAAGGCAGGAGCAAGGATAGGCTAGGCTGGCAGGCAGAGAGGATAAATAGATGGGGAACCAGAGAAGGAAGGAAAGAACAAGGAGAGTAGGATGTCAGGTTCCAGCCAGCCACCTACCCAGCCAGCCACCCACCCAGCCAGCCACCAAGATACACAGCAATCCATAGGGTAAAAGTATGATTTACAGAAGAGAACAGGAAAAGTCCAGAGGCAAAAGGTGGACAGATAATTTACATTAGGAAAAACTGGCTAGAAACAAGACAAGCTAAGGCAGGACATTCCTAACTAAGAATGAGCCTCCATGAGTGATTCATTTGGGAGCTGGGTGTTGGGACCACCAAAGAGAAAAAAAACAAAAACCATCTTACCACACCTGCCCGCTCTGACATCTGTGAATGAACACTGTGGAATGCGGTCTGTGTGACACAGCACAAAACAGCCACTCTGCTTTCCTCGTTGCCAGCTCACAGGAGGATTGGGGGGTGCTTCTTGTTCTGTGTCAGTCCACACTTACTCCCCTTTCCTTACTGAGACATCCCTACACACATGGGCAGGGTTCTCCACGCCCCCCCTTCATTCCCATGTGACCATTCTGCCTCTCTTCTATTCAGCATCCATGACACCTTCCTGAAGCTCTGCCCCTCAGGCAAGCACTATAAGGAGGCCACACTGACTATGGACCAGGTCATCTCTCTTCCTGCTCTGAGGGTGAGTCCAGGATGGGGAGGGGCTGAAGGTTGGGCACAAACAGAGGGGCACTTCCATGTTGAGTGCTAAAGATGCTCTGGGATTTCCAGGCAGAGGACCCATCAGGACGTGGCCTTCAAAAACTTCTCACACATATCTGTCTTCCCTCCATCCCTCATCAGACCTAGGCAGACAGGTGTGCTGACAATTGCCCTCTCTTAATTGAGGGACCCCCAGCCTGGGCTGTGAGAGTTGCCCCAGGTCTCCCTGTTGGAAGGTAATGGCCCAGGTGGATGCTCTCACTGGCCCAGTAACAGGCTTCCCACCCCCAAGCTTGCCAGGCTCTCCTGAGAATCATCTTGTGACCCTCCTTTTGGGGCTTGCCATCTACTCCACCCCTCATTGACCCCAGAGACCTGGCACCATCTCATTCCTCTGCTGCCCTTTGTACCCCAGATGTTGTGAGTAGGAGGGTGGGGGGTCCCACACAGAGCCATTGGGGCCTTGAGGAAGCCATAGGGCTCCTTCAGGCCATCTGCCCAGCCTTCTTCTGCCCTTCCTGTCTTTGCTCATGCCATGTCAGAAAAGTAGGGCTCTTCTAGAGGGGCTGAGAGCTTCCTCAGGGTCTCCTGTAAAAGGCCAGAAGGAGAGAGGCAGGGAACCTGAAGATTGTCCCCTAGCCTGCCTTTGTCCATTTCCAGGTGTTCAAAGAGAGCACTTTGATTCCAGCTCTTCCATTAATTCCTCATCTTTCTATCAGTCTGTCCATCTGTCCATCCATGCTGCTAACTTCCCCAAGCTGGGAACCCCCTCAGGCATAGCCCCTTCAGCCTGCTGAGCCATGTGAAGCCAATATCTTTGAATGAAGTCACTCACAAAACCCTAACCTTTCCTGAAACAGTAGGTTTGATTTTGTTTGTTGGTTTGTTTCAATTTTGGTTTTGGTGTTTTGGAATGCATACAGTTCTTAAGTTTGAAGTTTGTAGATGACTGTCATTTCACAATATCAAAGACTGGACACATCTACAGGAATAACATGCCTATTTCACCCTGGCTTTCTCTACTTTCCGAGGCTGAACCTTACACTCCATATTCCCAGGACAGACAGACAAGCAGGTGTGTGTGTGTGCATATCCACACTCTGCTCTTGGGGTGAGTCCTTAGTTTCCTCCTGTGTAAAATAAATGGGAGGAGTGTTGAGGTGACATGGAGGCTCCTGGCTCCCAGCAGCCTGCAGCACGCAGCACTACCCCCACACCTTTCAATTCCTTAGGGACAGTAGCTTGAGACTTTCTCTGTTATGAAGAGGCCCTGCCCTTCCCCAGGGCAGCCTGGCCAGGCCCAGATGTCCACAAGGACTCCCCAGTCACTCTGAGGTCTTAATTAAAATTTGTCTATGATTTGTGAGAGGCAGTGTTGGGCTGACAAATCACAGCTCTCAGACTCCTCATACGTCATTTGGATCTTGGCAGAATAATGATCCGAGCTGTCTTGAAGCAGTGAGGGCACACCTTCCCTCTGTCTGGAACAGGATTGGCTTTGAGGGCAAGGCTGCCTCAGAGATGAGGCCCAGGGACCTAAGAGGAGAAGCTGGCTACTGAGTGAGGAGTTTTGTAGTGATTCCTCCTAAGTGGCAGGTATGGCCCTCAAGTGCAGAGGTGGTTGGGGAACCCACACTCAAATGGGTTTGAAATGCAAGTATGGAGAAGGTCAAAGAATGAGAAAGTGTGGGGAGGAGTAGAGCTGCCCAAGGACTGTGCCCATTTTCAGCAGTAAAAGGAGATGCTTTTGAGTGGTCAAGACTGCATGGGAAATGAACTCCCTACCTCCAAAAGGAGGAGCAAGCAGGGCATGCCAGGAGACCCTTGCAGGGGGTTCTGGCATATACTTGGTATATGCCAAAGGGAGCCTGAACTAGATGCCTCCTTGGAGTCTCTAGTCCTGACTCTGGGATGGGTCTTGTCCTCTTTGAGATCATTCTCCACAGTGTATCCCAGATGTTTTATTCCAAAACTGAAGTTTATTTTCAGCAGGAACTAGAGATACCAACCTCCAATTTTTCCAAGTAAGGACATTTAAAAAAATATGTCACTCGTAATCACCATCAACTCACTTTTAAAATATGTTAATTTTAGCCAGACCTGATAGTGTATGCTGTGATCCCCAGCACTTGGGAGCTGGAAACAAGGGGAATCAGGAGTTCAAGGCCAGCTTGGACTACATGAGACTTTCTCAAAAACAACATACACACCAAAAATAAATGAATTAATTAATTAAACACACACACACACACACACACACACACACACACACACACACACACACACGCATGCAAACAATACCATCCCAGAAGCAAGAACCTTCATTTTTTGTTATTGTTATTCCCTTACTTTTTGTCTTTATCCTTTTGTCATCAGTTGTCAACCACCATGTCATGGTGGTTTAAGTCTGGCTTCAGGCTAGACTTAAACCTACACTACTGTCCCCTACAGTCTTGGGCAAGCAGAGAACTTTGCAGCCCAAGGAGGGGAGCCTAATGACTCACACAACCCAGAGCCTTTTCTGGGACAGGCGTGGAGGGTGGGGGGCAGGGAACTTTAGGGATTCGCATAACTTGGTTAGGGGACTTGGATGTTCTGAGAAGAGTGAAGTTTTGTTTTCTTAGTGTGAGTTGCATCATGGAAAAAGCAGGCTGGTTACTTAGAGAGTAAGGCATGAGAAGGTTCCGGGTAGCAGAGATAACCGGAAAAGCCTGTGGACAAAGACGCCTGCTGGTTGGGACACTGTGCCCCTTTTCCACATGGGGTTTTATGCTCTGTTTGTCTGCTGTATTTGATGTCTTTAAAAGTCAATTAGCTCAATGTTTCTCTTCCTGTAAATAATGATCTTGCTTTCTGTAAACACCGTGAGTGTGGCATGGCGTGACTCAGGTTTCTGGTTTCCTGGCCCAGTGTCTTTGTGTCCACCTGGGATGATGGCTGACGAAACCAGAGGAAAGATAGAGTGGTCTTCAGGAAAAGGGTGGGGGAAAGGCTTACACCCCACTAGGCCATCTGCAGCCTCTTCCTGCTCCCCACACCACCACCCCCCCATCTCTAAAGAGAACATTAGATTGCTCTTCTGAAATCTCAGCCTTTGACCCTCCTGGAGGTGTTTAACTCTCTCAGCCCTCCCCATGACTTCTCAGTGTAGTGATCAGATGATAATTTTAAGTCAAGGAACATTTGGTGTTGTATAGTCAGGTTTGTTGTTGTTGTTTTTTTAATAAAATACTTGCAGCCAGCTACTTCACTGAGAATTCAAGAAGTTTATTTAGTTCAATTCTGGAAGCTGCAGGCTGCTAGGCGGGACCTCCCCTTGGCGGTGTCACATCTCAGCAGGAGCCACATGGCTATCTCTCAGCCTGTGTGGTCTCTCTCCCTCTCCTTTTAAAGCTACTAGCATTCACTCACAAGGGCCCCACCCAAATGATTTTATCTGATCTAATCACTTCCCAAAAGCTTCACCTCTGGGCACTATATTAGGACTGCCTTTTACCTGTCATTACCTTAACGTAAAGCTTAATGGACTAAACTCCTTCAGTGAGCAGAGACAACTGTATCCAAACCATTAGCAGGTGTTTCTGTCCCGATGGCTGTGAACCCTATTCAGAGCTGAGCTGTGAAATAAATGTGTAGAGTTTTTCTTTCTGCACATTTTTGTTGTTATTTTTTCCAGATATAATAATTGTTTTTGCTTAGTTTTCTTTGTACATATCATTAACTCATCATCAAGGCTCTACCAATTGTCTAACTCTCCAAGAGCATTCAGAAGGGAGGATTTTCTGTACGTTTCATTTTCTTAGGGAAGTTTTTCTTGGAGCCTTATAATTGCTTTAGTTGGGAGAGGGTTGCACTTTGAACACAGAGCATGTCAGCATCCGAGATATCATTCCTCCCCCATCCTTCAGACTCTGCATCTCACTTGGCTCTCATACTTCTTACCCTCCCCTTGCTTTGGGGGGACACAATCCTCTAGCAGCTTTCTGTTAAAGAATACAGGGAGCTAAGTGTTTTGTGACCCCCTTACACATCTGAACATGTCTTATTTTCCCTTCACACCTGAAATGGATTGTAGATAAGAAACCAGTTTTCTTCAGGATTGGGAAAGTATCACTTGATTACAGTTTAGTGTTCACTGTTGTTAACTCGAAATCCAAAGCCTTTCTGTTTCCTAATTTTTTTTTGTGTGTGTGTGTGTATATCCTATTTTTTTTGTTTCTTCATTCATGCTCAGTTTCTTTCTGAAAACGTGTCGTTCTCATTCACTGGCTGGGCCTCAAACTCAGGCCAACATGCTTGCAGAGCAAAGGACTCTTACCCACTGGGCCATCTCTGTGCCCTCCCCTTGTTTGTGACAAAGCCTTTTACTGGTCTGGGGCTCATCACTAGGTCTAGGCAGCCTGTCCTGCAAGTTCCCCAGGGTTGGGATTACAAGCACGGACTACCATGCCTGGCTTTTTGACACAAACTCAGACTCAAACGGGTCCTCCTGTTTGTACTGCAGACACTGACTGTGCCATCTCTCCAGCCCTCATGTCTCCTTTTGGGCTTGCTTCTTCAACTTTTATCTTTCAACCACAATGAGTTTTCCACTCCCTCCTTAAGCATTTGGTTTCCAGGAGCTCATTTGTGTTCTCTGCTTCTCCCTTTCTTGAGTAACACCCTTCTGTTTTTTTGTTTTGTTTTGTTTTGTTTTCCCTGAATGCAACTATCTTCTCTGATCATCCCTTTGAGGTGTTTTTTGCCATTTGCTGCCATGAGCCCTTGCCTTTCATGCCAGAGGCCTTCCTTGGATATCTGGTAATCATTTGCTCATAATGAAGAGTGCGAGTGATTGCCAAAAAACTGTTTCAAAGCTTGAGCCCGTGGGTGGTGTCTGTCAACTGGAGTGCCAATGGAGAGTGAGCTGAAGGGGCCATTTTTTTTGAGGATTCCCTAGAAACACTGGCGTGTTCT